TAATGAGGAGTGTGACGGAGGGGCATATGGAGCAGAGGCCGGCATGTGCAAAAACATGTGGAAAACGTTTAAAGGCTTAACAGGCCATGATCTTTGAGTTCAGGGAGATTCGCAGGGATCGCAGGTCACGTTATCACATCCGCATATGATGAATGTGCTGTGAAAATGAGGATAATAAAGTGTGTGTATGAGTATACAATGTCCTTGCGTATACACATGACTGCTTACTATAATTTGATTTGAGCGCTTTAGATACAGTAATGCATATATACAAGGGCTGTATAGAATGTGTCTTTCTAATAGGAGGTTTTTAGACCCGCTCTCTCCTCATTAGAGGCTCCCCAACTCTCTCTTTTTCTTGTTTTCCCACTATATGGATGTGTGCAGGGTGCAGAACAGACAGAGAAATAGAAGACTGGAGAACGGGGGGGAAAAAAAAAGCACCTGGCCATACTGAAATCCCATCACAGTGGGGAAGAGGGAATAAAGGCTCCTGAATGTTCCCTGGGGCCTCTGCGGACAGAATGACATGTCTTAGAGCCTGCCTGTTCGCCTCCTGCTGTTACAACATCCTACGCTGTGTACAGACCAAAGAGGCCGCCACCATCAAATACACACTACAAGCTTTTAATGGGGTCTAAATGAAAAGATCAAGAATGGAAATCGAGGGATGTTGCCTAAGATGCAGATATTAAGTCATGTTGTCTGTGATGCCATTTAACAGGCAAATGTTGCAGTAATGAACATCTGCTCAGGCGCTAATTTGTATTCCTTATGCTTAACTAAATGGCTCCTAACAGCGGCTGAAGCAGCCGTCAGTATACGGGAGCAAGTGTGGCTTTTGCCTTAACATAATATCGTGTGAATGCCTATTGTGTAGGCAGATTGTTGACATTTTGGTCCATCTTCCTTATTTAATTCTCCCCCACACTCAGTCCCCTCGCTCTCTCTGTTACTGCAGCCCAGTGCAAACCTTCCTTCATCTTTGTTTGCACATTGCACAATGCAGCAAAAGCCTTGAGGGGTTGTGTGTGTGTGTGTGTGTGTGTGTGTTTTGTTTTGTTTTGCTTTGTGTTCTGTTCCAGCACAGAGGACAGTCATCCAGTCATCAGCATGGCTGTTCCCCACGTGCACTGTTAGTCAATTAGAGCTGCCATTAAAGACAGAGGCACCGAGGGAAATAAAGACAGCAGCGTGGATTTGTCTGTGCAACGCTGATTTCCATCCTTAAACCCTCTCCAGACGAAGAGACTGCAATAATTGGGATTCTGACAGTGGGTTAGGGGGTGGGGGGAGAAGACTCATTTCCTGCTTTCACCTCCTCCCCACCACCTTTTCCATGCAATCACGTCTATCCAATCACATCTGCCCAACACCTACCTTTACACTCGATCCCCCTTACTGTCTTTATCTACAGCTACACCGGGCTTGAAGACTTACTGAAGCCTTTCCCCGTTAATCTAATTGCTCTGGTGCAACTGCAGGAACCTTGCAACTAAGCTCCTGCTACCACTGATGCACATTTCACCAGGAGGCTGACATTAGAGGCCCTTGTGTTGTTTCAAAGTCTCCACACTGTGACCTAAGAAATGCTTACCATTCATGCAACTTTTACTGTGAAGTCTGTTGTGCACATTCAGTAGAATTTGCTATAGGATATCTAAATGCTGAAATGTGGCTGCATTGAAGTGTGGAGACAATGTAGAAGAAGTGAGGATTTTATTATTTTTAGGCAGATCTGTTATACATTAAGGATTTAACATTATAAACCGAGTGTTGGAATGTTAATGCAAAATGTGAACATCAGTAGCAAAACACTGTGTTAAAAAAGAAAATTATATGTTTATGTAATGTAATAAAATGTCAGGCAATTCTTTCTACTCTCTAGAACTCCAATAATTCTTATTTGTAATTGGTTCGGCCATAAAAAATCCCTTTTCACAGTGTTATTTCCACCTCGCATGACTGCAAGTGTGTGTAAAATATGTAACAGTTGCACTTGTTGACTCTTCTCCCTACAAATCTGGGCCACAAGGCCACACAAACTCCACTGCTCGCTCCGTGATGCTTTCCTTTTTCTCTCTAAACATAGTCAGTGACGAAAACATAACCGAGACTAGAATCAACTTGTTGTTATCGCTGTGATGGATTGTCTCCATCTGAATCTTCGCTCCTCAATAACACGAGCCACGCTCCCACAGTCGAGACCCTTGAACTCACAATAGCATGGGGTTAGATGATCAGATTACATTGAAAAAACACACATGGGCATTGTTAAGGGAGTTTGCAATTCCACCCATGAACATGGCTTTCATTGTGCCCCGCTGAAGAGAATGCCTTTCATTCTGGAGCGAACAGCAAGGGCAAACAGGACCTCATGTGTCTCTGTGGTGCACCATCTCCTCAAGGCTCTGACGGGAAATCAGATCTCTCTTTTCACGGCCGTCTCTACTGAAAGACTCTGGTATGGTTCCTTTACTCGCAGCACTTCTTAGAGAGGAAACTTAATCTTCACTCGTAAGACAATTGAAGAGGGGGAAAAAAAAGGCCTCAGCAATTTGATGTAAGCACCCCCTTCTACTGTCAATATTTTGACAGATTTCATGACAGCATAATTATTTGCCGGGATCCCTGCCAAGGGTTTAATTGTTACATGCGTAATTACACGTTTAGTTGAAGAGATGTTGGAACAAAACATTGGTTGCATTATTAATATTACACTACAAATGGTGCCTTTCATCTTGACTGCTTTATGCTGTCTCTGTGGCTCCATAATCCAGCCATGAAAGAGGATATCTTACAAACCCTCTGAGGGCACCTCTAACAAATCAATTCATTACCCCATAATATCGGCAGGCAAAGGCGCATCTTTCGTAGATCAATTCATTATCCAACCTCTGGCAGCTGAAAGGCGGTGGCTGACCACAGTTTCAAGCGCTGATATCAGCTTTCAGTTTAGGAGGATGACTAAAAAGCAGACGGGCTGGTGGCAGCCTTCCATTAAAAGGGCTTCTGAACAATGGGTGAACCACAGAATAGTATCATTTTTAACTGTAATAATTTCGTTTTCTCTCTTGGTAAAACACATGATTCCCAATTGTTTGTGCTGAGGCTCGGAATTATTCTATAGAGCCGCAAAATCCATCTCCGTGTAAGCTGCACTCGCAGGTAATGCATTCTTCTCATAAAGCCTTAATATTAGTCACTGCATCATGTGATCAAGGAAGACACACAGCGGCAGAGAAAACGGTCAATGCACAGGAGCATGCGTTGTGTGAGAATCACTACAGTGCAGTATCTCAAGCTGTAACTTCCCCTACTGCAGTGGTGCAGATGAAGAAGAGAGCATGTGGTCAGAGAAGTGTTCACTATATGAGCCTTGACTAACAAAGCCTTTGCACAGAAAGTAAAGAGAAATAAATACAAGGGGGATCAGGAGTGGAAGGTGAGACCTTTTTTTAGTCAAAAAAAATCTCATGCCCAGCTGTGAGGATATGAAGTGGATCAACATGTTCTCCCTGAGCGGACAACATTTAATTGTATAATCCCATTTAGCTCAAAAAATGCCATGACTGAGGACACCCCTGAGATGTTCCAATCCACCACATGCAGTGAATTACATGTAGGTCAGAAAACAAGCAGATTTGTGTAATTATGCATGGATGTGGATTCAGAGTAGCAGAGTTGCTGCACCAGAGAAGCTTTCTTCACGCGCCTCTTATTGGCCTGTATTCCTAAAGGAGGAGCTGGTGCCTGTCCTCATTAGTAGTCATCGAACGGGCCTGGCAGTGTTTGTGAAGCAGCACCCATCACGTTTCCCCTCCCAGCACACAGACACTGGGGGACGTGCTGTAATTACAGGCGCACATAAGAGAGGCAGCGACACACCGATCTAAAACGCAGGTGGGTGGTTTGTTGTGCAGGGCTGGATCAGCACGGTTCCAGTCTGCAGGCTACACGCTGTCATGCTGTTTCAAGTGATCAAGATCTCTAAGCACGTTGACCAAATACCACCTGCCAGAGCGCGGATAGGGCATGGCACAGGTAAATGTTGGGCACATTGATGTTTTGAAAAGCCAAATCAATTTGCCTGTGAGGGATTCCAATTGACAGGAAAATGCAGGCAATTTTGAAAAATATCCTCTTTGTCCTGCTGGATGGGAGGAAGCATTCTACCGAGGGGAAAAAAAAAAAAAAAAAAAAGATTAGCACTGAATTTTACAGATTCAAAACTGCTGCTCTTATTTTCTTTGAATTTCTGTTAGGCATGACTTCTGTTGCATAGAGAGGTGTTTCTCTGTGGTTAGATGCCAAAACGTTTTAGATCTGTTTAATTATGAGGGGGAAAAAATCAGTTATGGAAAAAAGGCCCCGCACAATATTGTACTAATAAAATCGCATTTTATGCAATTCTTTCATGCCACATCAATGGATTATTTATGTTTTTTAATAGTCTAGAGTTTTAACTGCAGATGTGCAACAACATTTGCTTTGTTCCCTGACAGGCAGTTGTGAATTTAAAACCAAACACCTGTGATGAACAGCTCCCATCCTTGCACGGCAGCTCAGAGGAACTAAACTAAACGCGTTCTGCAGTAACGACTTCCAAAGGCAGCTGTGCATTTTCAGCTCAAACCCTGGTGAGAATTATCATCCGCAATGCTATATTTCACAGTGTATTACTGCTGAATAATAGCAAGATACGGGGAAGATTATATATTCTTTTACAGAGACAAGATGATGGCTTTAGTTGAATAATATACAGAATTCATACCTGCTATTGTTGTTTTGTTTTTTTTAATATATATGAACATATATCACTAGATCATACCATCAATTGAATGGGAATGAAAACATCCTTGGAACGCATTACAGTGGAGAGTGCACTACCCGGCAGGATAGTACTCTTTGGTGGTTGGATTATTCTGTTATGGTGGTAGAGCCGACTGATTCATTAGGCTTAGGGGATATGGTAAAAAAATAATAAGGGCAAAACATACCTCGACAAACAGTCCCATTTTCCACAGCCTCGTTCCCAGCCTTGCACATGCAGCGCCCGATGGGTACCATCCACTCCCCGTCCCCATTGCAGTACAGCTTAATGGGCACATCCACCTCCTCTGCATTGGGGATACAAACACCCCTCGCAGCCACCAGGGAGGTGCTCTCCGCTCCCGATAGCGTCTCCTGGAACAACGCCCCGTTAGTGATTTTACGAGGACACTTCCGGTAGAAGACACGAACAGCGATGAGCGACATGCAGCCGCCATAGTCCTGGAAGGCCAAGTAGAAGCCATTTTTCGACACAGGGCCGAAGCTTCGAACCTCCGTGTTGATCATCATCACTCTGCCCCCAAGGTCCACCTGGGAGAAGCTCTCATCCGCCGCGATGGTGTCGACCTTGATCCAGGGGTTCTCCATCCAAGCTGGTGAGGTTCTGGTGGCTGTGTCAGCATCTGATTCATAGTAATAAAGGTTAAAAGTCTCTTTACAGGAGCCCGGTACGTTGGGGATGCTACTGCAGTCCCTCACAGAGAATTTCATCTCCACGTGGATCCGTTGCGCACCGCGACGCCGGATGTATTTTGTCCGTACCCAGTTGTTCTGATTGTTGTCGAAAACATTACAGACTTGGTACGTCCGGATGGTGTTCATGTTTTCATCGTAACCGCTCACCTCCTCCCACTGTTGATGAAGAACACAGAAAAATAGCAAATTAACATTTTTTTCCATTTGCATTTCTTGAAAAGGAGTTTGACGTCAATACAGAAAATAGTGGGGCGGGAAAAAACCCAACAAACACTTGGTAATTAAGGCACATAGTTAGCCTGATTCATTCAATTAAGTGCAATTCAGCTGTAAAGCAGTAAATGGTCTGCATGTTTTCCATTATAGAAAATGTCATAAAGTTCTGATACCTATTTTCCAGCAATTACAAGTATGTTTTCATGGGCATTTTATAATAGCTTTGATTACTGGGAGAAATCAGCTTTAGGCAATATTTTGATTAAATTGATTACACGGTGAGAAGAAACATGATATCTCTGATAACTCACTTTAAAAGGATGCATTACATGAGTCTTAAGGAACAAATGAGAACCAGGCCTCCCAGTGTGTCCTCCTGTATTTCAAGGTAATACTCATTTGTTAACAAGGCTGCACACTGGTTACTTATTATGGACGTTCCAGCTCACAGCTTTTACTGAGCCTATAGATTACCTGCATTAAAGTTCACTGTTGGCTTATCTTTTTCAGTCTAATGCAACAACAGCTCAGTCATTCCTAAAGCCCAAGTTTAAGGACATTTTAGAGCAGGGTATGAATGAGTGTCATCTATTAACTGGCACTTTGTACTATGGCTTACTTTGACAGTAAAAGCCAGCAGACAGATGAAGGCACTAAGTAGTCCCAAGAGACTCCTTTGGCTTTCAGCATTAATCAGTTTGTTTGTTTTATTAATCTTTTCAAAATGTAGTGTAGATGCCATCAAGCGTGAACCCTCTGAACCTCAAAACCTGTCAGCAGGTCTGAAAAGCATGCTATCTGTTTTGTTTTTTTTAAGTCTTCGGAATTACACCATTTATCATAACAAGAAACTGTAGAAACAGGAGCAATAGTCGGATTTTCAACTTGCCAACGGTCCTTGAGTAATTGTGTCTGCCTTCCAGTCACAAATCTACGCTTAAAAACATAAGTGTTGATCAGGATCAACATTATTCTAAGAAGACATAGAAAATAAAGCTAAACTTTGTTTCTACATGTCTTATTTAACCCTGTTTAGGACTTTCATGTTGCCATACATAGGAGGTCTTTCGGAGTCCACTGGATCCCAAGAAAGAATATGTGCAAAATACATTTAAATACATTTTCTGAAAAGTTGACATATTTTTGGTTCCAAATGCACGACAAATGTCCCTATTTTTATATTTTAAAAAATAATAAGAAAATTCTTCAAAAATAAACCAAATGGCCTGGGGTCTGATAGATCCGAAAGTCCTGAATAGGGTTAAAAATTTGCCAAAAAGTAAACTGTTTGCACCTGATTTTATAAAAACAAAACGAAATCTCTACTCCTGGGCACAACTGAGAAGAATTAGTGACCAACCGAAACTGCAAGCAGACACATGACAAAAATTCAGGGAAGTTTTGGCTGAACTGCAGGCTGTGTTTACACAGAGCAGACAAGAGACACAGATGGAAACAAACTAAATATTTAAATAGTCAAATAAGTATACCATGTTGAACCCCCATTTTCTCCAGTATTAGTAACACCTGTGAGCACTTGGAAAAATGTTGTGCATGTTGATTTTATTTTTTTTCCCAATTTTTGTAAAATAAATAAAGAAATTTCCCCTTTATTTTTATTTTTTTATGACTCATGCTATAATTACTTAGAAGGTACTAAAGAGTTTTTTGTGTTCTCTCTATGCCTAACCATGATAGTGCTGCTTCCAAATAGTGGCAGGACTTTTCATAGCAGTGAAAAATTAGTCCATAATGAACAACACTGTGGTAGCAGCAAAAAATGCCCAGAAACTGCTTGGAGTTTAGAGTGAAAAAAAAAAAATTAATAATAACAATTTAGGCTAAAAGATTTGCATTTTAAGGTGCTAAAGCAAAAGAAAATCCTTTTGCACAAGTGAAGAGTTGTGATGTTTACCTTCTCTTTCCCATCCTGTCAATAAGGAAACCACTCACATACTGTAGTGACACAAGAGAAACTGAAGATGTGACATTCCTTGAACACAGCAGAGAGGCTCTGGTTTATGTGATAATGTGTCCTACTTTTTTATTGTTTCTTAATAGGACACATTAATAGCACACACTGTAATGGGTTATTGACATTGTAGTGAAAGCTGCTTTCACTACAGTAAAGCACAGAGGAAAACGTGACGAGAATTCGTCTACACTCAGAGCCGCACTAAACTGGCTTAATCATATTACACATATAATCATATAAAGTATAATCAAGAGGGAAATTTCACTCCAGGTTTTTATGGTGTGCTGTTCTACTTCAAAGTTTACACAATGCACAACAACTTCAGTTCTCGCTCTGACTACAGAGAGTCCAGATGCAACCTCTGTGGTTTTTCTGCCTTTTGGCCGTGGATCAAACCAGCTTTAAACACCATGCTCTCTAACCACCGCGCAGGTCGCGACCTTGACCTCGGCATCGCAGCCAAGAAAAAAAAAAAATCCTGTTCTTCCCCCTCTGAGCAACTTTGCATCGGCTGCACCCTCAACTGTTTCTACCGCTCTGCCTGTCTCCCCCACCCCCCCGCTTCACTCTTCACTTCACAGCTGATATAATTTCTCAAATTAGTGCCCACTTAGTGAGGATTTTGACAGAGTTTGACGGGTTGGGAGAAGAAAGTCACCCGTCTTGTTACAAACCGGCATTCTATCAAACACGTTGACTAATTAAAACAGCTTTGGCTCTTAATTCCCATGTCCTAATTAATCACAGCTCGTGTGATGCTTGGCTTGACCCAAACAATCACAAAAGCCAACCAAAACAGAAAAAGTCTGATAAGCAGCCAAAAATAATACCAATAATGAGACGCAGAAAGAAAAAAAAAAAAAAAAAAGAATGCTGCATAACAAGAAAAACTTGTTTATCTGAATCCTGTCTGAGCCTTTGTCCCAAATGTGCACACTAAGAAAACTAGAATCTGCAAAAATATATTTCAAAAGTTATGTTATACTTGAAATGTGTATTTTTTCTTTAGCAATCAGTGAGAAGCGACTTATTGCATGTATTTGATAGAACTAAAACATACTTCTATGACATTATAAACAGGTTTAATGCATTCTAACATGAACTGATATAAAACAAATTAGCTTTGTAAACCTCAAATTCGAAGAAGACTAGATGCTGAAGCAAGTGGAAATCTACTGTTGCATCACCACAAATGAATATGGTGCCTTCACAATCGTACAGTTAAAGCAGTAGTGAAGGCATGGTTGGATGCGCTGAAGGTTATGGCGGTGTGGTTTAAGGGTAAATCTGTCTTTTGCCCAGCGCTGGCAGACATCATCATCCCAGGTCATGAGCAGCCATTGACCTTCCCACTTGTTGAGGAGCAGTGGGGAGGCTGCGGGCCAATTAAACAAGAGCGCACCGCCTGCTTCCAGTGAGCGCAGAGCGTTGCACAATCGCAGTTTAATAAAATGAATGTGGAGACAGGTGGGGGTTGCTGCTAATGAGGGATGCAGACAGGGGAAACTCCAGGAGAAAGTGTTGGCAGTGATGTGGGGGGGGGAGGGGTTGAGTCCGACTAAAAAGGACCCCAAACAAAATGTGTTTTGATGAAGGGCCCCTTTTTGTCCTGTCATGGCCTCTTTGCCCTGCTTTCATCACAGCCAGTGGAGGGAAGCAAATGGGGCATAATAAGAGCCTAACGATCAAGCACCGAGTGTGAAATTAGAAGAAACGTCTTCATTTTCACAGCTTTTTCCCCTGGCTCTTTACACAGAGGGCTGTAAAAGGGTGGTCATGTGTTTTAAGTACAGCAGGTGGAGGTAACAGTGGTGCTGGATGTCAGGATAGATTAACTGGAGGGAATGAGCCGCTCTCAGATGATGATGGAAACAAAAACTCCAGCTCATTGTGCCGAGATCCTGATACATTTGGCAAAATATTTCTTCTAGTTCCCTGTGGAAATCAACAGCCACGGGGCTAAAAGCACCGAATACTGCATTACTATAACATAAAATAAATAAATGTTTAAAACCAGAATCATCAAAGACATTTTGTAATAACCAGAGGCAAAGCAAATATTATCAAGAGCTCCTTTTGCATTCGAAAAATAGTTTGGGTCATTTTTCAAAATTATTAGACATACGATTACTTCAAGGTAAACAACAAGCAAATAGCTTTTCATGCTACACAAGCTTCCGTCCTCAGAGAAACACGCTGTGATGATGAAAATCCAATGGCGTGAAACAGAACGCACAACCGGCTCCAAACAACAGCAGCACACTGTTTTATGTTTTAATTGCTCTCGCTGGGGTCCTGAGTCTAACAATCCTGGGTCGAATGGTGCAGGCAAATAATTACCTGTGTTTGCTTGAACCTGCTGGTTGTTACTCATCCGTTTTTCCCAACACACAAAAACAAACAATAGGAATCATCTGCGTGTGATGACTCAAGTATGCAAGCAGTTTTAAAGTAACAATCCTTGGGCCCTGAGGAACCTTTACGAGTATAACACCAAAAAGTGAATCGCTGTATTTGTGGTCTAGCTGACTGCTTATGTATATATTTTGAAAAATTAGGAACAAGCAATGCTATACAGTGTACCCCAACTCTGTCTGATAAGAGTGCACATCTGTTTGGATAAAGCATGTTGGATTACAGTTAGGTGCAACTGCCCTTGTCCTGTCCCAGAACAAATTTCTGAACCCTTATCTTCCAACTGTTGTCAGGCCATCTATACTTTGTTAACAAAACTACTTACAGATCCACTAACTGATCTACTATACAGCTTGTAATTTATATTACCCTCGGGGAGCAATACTGAGAGACAATTGCCCTGCCCAGAAAAGCAATCTGAAGTGAATGGATTGTGAAGGCTGGAATATGGCAGAGCTAGTAGAGACCACCATATGTCAACTGCTCCTCTCTTCCTCGGGAGTTACATGCAACGCTACAGTTCAGTGATGCCCACTGAGAATGAGGTTCA